AGAATTCCTGAGCCAGCATGGGGGAACTATGGCCCCTTCATGACTCGTGGACTTCAACTCCCAGAATTCCTGAGCCAGCATGGGGGAACTATGGCCCCTTCATGACTCGTGGACTTCAACTCCCAGAATTCCTGAGCCAGCATGGAGGAACTATGGCCCCCTCATGACTCGTGGACTTCAACTCCCAGAATTCCTCAGCCAGCATGGGGGAAACTTTGGCCCCCTCATGACTTATGGACTTCAACTCCCAGAATTCCTCAGCCAGCATGGGGGAACTATGGCCCCTTCATGAATCGTGGACTTCAACTCCCAGAATTCCTGAGCCAGCCTGGCTCAGCTTGGAAACCTCTCCCTTTCCCCTCAGCATGGCTGGCTCAGGAATTCTGGGAGTTGAAGTCCACCAGTCATAAAAGAGCCAAGGTTGCCCACCCCTGCTCTGGGCTAACTGGTGTGTGTCCCTGCTTCCTCCCCTCGCAGCTGGAAGGCCTGAACCAGCAAGTGGAGAGCCTCCGCAGCAAGCAGGCCGAACTGCAAGCCACCGTCCTGCGCCTGGAAGAGGAGAAGCGTCTTCTGGAGGCCAGCCTCCAGTCGGAGAGGAGAAGCTTCGAAGCGGAGAAAGCCCAGCTGACGGGCCTCCTGACGGAGCTGCAGAATTCCAGCTCCGAAATCTCCCGGGCCAAGGAGAAGCTGGAGCAGGACTGCCGGGCCCAGGAGGAATGCTTGATCGCTCAGGCCAACAGCCTCACCGCCGAGATCGCCAAGCTGACGGGCTTCCTGCGCCAGAGGGACGAGGAGCTGCTGGCTTTGCATCAGCAGGTGGAAGCCGAGCGGAGCCAGAAGAGCCAGCTAGCCGAGGACTGGGAGAAGAAGGAGCAGAGGTCCCGGGCGGCCATTGAAGACCTGAGCCACCAGGTGGACCAGCTGAGCAGCTCCTTAAAGCAGAGCAACCAGAAGGTGTCCCAGATCGAAGCCGCCAGCCAGGAAGAGTACAACAGGATCGCCCAGGAGAAGGAGCTGGCCGTCAGGCAGCTGCAGGACAAAGACGTCGAAGTGGCCTCCTTGGCGGAGCGGCTGCAGTCCCTGGAGCAGGCTCGCACCTCTTCCGCCGTGGAGCTCCACCAGGAGAAGATGGAGGCCAGCCAGAAGATCCAGGCCCTGGAGGCCAGGGTCTTGGCCCTCACCGCCCAGAGCCAGCAGAGCGAGGCCCAGGCGGCAGCCATCCCGGCCTTGAAGAGCCAGTTGCGGGAAGCTCAGCAGAAACTGGCCGAGAAGGAGAAGCTGGCCAAAGAGCACGTTCATCTCCAGGAGAGGCTGATGATCCTGGAGGAGTCTGTCCGCAACACCGAGGGGATCCTGGAGGACGAGAAGAGGAGGGCGGCGGAGTCCCTGGAGAGCAACCTCCGGCAGATCGTGGAGCTGGAGGAGCAGATCCAGGCCCTGACCAAGCACAAGGACCAGGCGGTGGAAGGGATGGGGGAGGAGAAGGCCAAGAGGCAAGCGTTGGAGGGCCAGGTGCAGCGGCTGGAAGAGGAATCCAGGCGGAAGCTGGAAGAGCTTCAGCGTCAGCTGGCCGAGTTGTCTTCTGCCAAAAGGGAGCTGACGGAACGCAGCGGGCTGGCCCAAGCAGCCAGGACGGGCCAGGAGCAGAGTGGCCAGAAGTTTCAGGCTGACCAGAAGAAGTTGGCCGCGCTGGAAGGCCAGCTGAAAAATCTCACCGCCCAACACCAAGAAGCTCTGGCTGCTCTTCAAGCCAAGTGGTCTCAGGCCGTTTCCCAAGTCAAGGAGAAGACGAGCTCGGAAGAGAAGCTCCGAGCCAAGGTGGCCGCCTTGGAGAAGCAGGTGGCCGCAGCACGTCACGAATCGGCTCAGGCCAAGAAGGATGGGCACGAGGCTGACCAGGAGCTTACAGAGACCGTCAAGAGACTGGCTGAAGAGCAGCTGAAGAGGCAGGAGCTGGAAGCCAGAGTGAAGCAGCTGGGAGAGCAAACCAGTAAAAATCTGACCACGGCCGAGTCCAGTTTGTCCAGCCTCAGGGCCACGCTGAAGGAGAAAGAGCAGGAGGCCGAAAAGGTCTCCGCCCAGGTGAAGACGCTGAAGGCCCAGTTGGAGGAAGCTCTGCAGCAGCAGAAAAGGCAGCTGGCTCAGCACCAGGAGGAAGCCAAGCGGCGGGCAGCGGAGGAGGAACGTGCCCAGGCCGAGCTGGCCGCAGAGAAGGCCCAGAAGACGGCCCTGGAGGTGCAGCTGCAGAACCTCACCAACGAGCACCGGGTGGAGGTCTCCGGTCTCCAGGAGGAGGTGGCCAGGGCCCAGGACTTGGTGGGCGAGAAGGAGAGGGAGCTGGAGGAGCTGCGGCTGAAGAACGTCTCCCGCTGCGAGGAGCTGAGGGACCTGCAGAAGACGGTGAGCAAGCTAAAAGGAGAGCTGGCCTCAGTGGAGGCGCTGAAGGAGAGGGAGGCCAAGATGGAGAACGAACTGCAGGGCTTCCTGGAAGTGGCCAGAACCCGGGAAGCCGAGATAGACAGCCTGAAAGCCATGGTGCGCTCGAAGGACGCGTCCCTCAAAAGCCTGGAGGAGCAGAAGCTCCAGTGGGAGAAGGAGTCGGCCTCCAGCCGGGAGCTGTACGAGAAGCAGCTGAAGGACGGCGAAGATCTCCACGGCCAGGTTGGCAAGCTGGAGAAGCAATGCAAGGAGCAGCGGAGCACCATCACCAAACTGGAGAAGCTGACGGCCGCCTCGAAGGAGCAGCAGCACGCCGAGGCGGAGGCCTTGAAGCGGGAAGCCGGCCACCAGAGGCAGAAGGTCTCGGAGCTGGAGAAGTTGCTGGAGGCGTCCAAGGCCACCGTGGAGAAGCTGAAGAGGGAGCTCCTGGAGACGGAAGAGGAGCTGGTCCGGAGTCGAAAGGCTGTGTCAGGCGCTCAGGAAGAGTTGGCCTCCTTGCGGACCTCGGCTCAGGAGAAGGACAGGCTGGAGGAGAGCCGGAAGGAGCAAATGTCCCGGTACCGACAGGAAGCGGAGAGGAAGGCCAGCCACATCAGCAACTTGGAGCAGGACCGGTCCATCCTGCACCGGCAGCTGATGGAGAAGGAAGCGGAGAGCAAGGACCTCCGGCGCCTGCTCATGGCCGAATCGGAGAAGAGCAAGAAGCTGGAGGAGAGGCTGAGGCTCCTCCAGTCCGAGATGGCCACGGCGGCTTCCCGGGCGGCGGAGAGGTGCTCCGCCATGAAAGCCGAAGCCCAGAGCTCTCAGGAGCAGGCCGAGAAGCTGAGGCTGTCGGTGGACACCCTGAAGAAGGAGCTGAGCAGGTTCTCCAAGCGGGAGGAGGACCTCTGCCAAGAACTCAAGTCCTGGCAGGAGAAGACTTTCCAGAAGGAGCAGCTCCTCGCGGGCCAGCAGCAGGAGTTGGCCGGGGCTCAGGCTTTGATTGGCGAGCTGACGCCCGTCAAGCGCTTGTACCAGCAGCTCCAGGCTGAGCAGGCCTCGCAGGGGGACCAGCATCGGGAAGAGGTGGAGCAGCTGCAGAAGACCACCGGCCTCCTGCAGGCCGAGCTGAGCAGAACCAAGCAGGAGCTCTCGGAGACGGTCTCCCTCAAGGAGAGGCTCCTCCAACAGGAGCACCTTTTCCAGCAGCTTCAGGCGGAGAGCAGCGGGCACGCGGCGCGCCTGGCCACCCTCCAGCGGGCCCACACCCAGCTGGCCGAGGAGAAGAGAGAGCTGGCGGAGAAGGCCACTCAGGGGCAGCAGCGCCTGGATACGGAGCTGGGCCAGGCCAAGCAGAAGCACGCTCTGGAGCTGGAGGCTGCCAGGGTGGAATCCGAGAAGCTGGTGGCGGGGAGCAAGCGGGAGGTTGAGGAGGCCCAGAAGAAGCTGGAGGCCATGGCCAAGACCTACGAGGACACCAAGCATCAGCTGATAGCTCAAGTAAGCCCTTTGCACCTTCCACGGGGAATTCTTCCAAGATGGGGAGGGGGCTGTTCTTAAGGATGACCGGTAGAAGAGGGGGGGGTGAACTGTGAGGTCCCTGGTGTTTTCTTGTGGACGTTTCATGACTTAACTAGGGAACACCATCAATGCCAGAAGGGTTTGTGGAGGAGATGGGGAGGGGGGAAGGAGGAGGAGGAGGAGGAGGAGGAGGATGGTGCTGTCTGAGTTTGGTAGTTTTTTTTTTGCAGATGTTTCATTACCCAGCTAGGTAACATCACCAGTGTGAGGGAGTGTGATCTTTGCTCCATGTTCATATACCAGTGGTGGCGAACCTATGGCACGGGTGCCAGAGGCGGCACTCAGAGCCCTCTCTGTGGGCACGTGCGCCGTCGCCCCAGTCCTGGGCCTTCAGCTGGGTTTTATAAAACCTTTTCGCTTTAGGCCTCCGCCGCCATGTGCAAAAAAAAAAAAGGTTCAATCAATCAGTCAATTTCAACTTCACGCAGGAAAAAAAAAGATCTTGCAAAGTTGGAATTGATTGACTGAACTTTTTAGTCCCACCCAGTCTGCCGTTACCACCGTAGCCACGCCCACCCAATGGGCCACACCCACCCCAATTGGCCATGCCCACCCAATGGGCCACGCCCACCCGGCACCCGACGATGCCTAAGTGGGTTTGGGGTTGCAGTTTGGGCACTCGGTCTCTAAAAGGTTCGCCATCACTGTCATATACAGTATCTATATCCAGATAAACAGAGATTAATACCAGATAAACAATGAAGCAGGAAACAGCTCCCTGGTGGAGGAATGGCCAAGGAGAAAACCACAATCCCACCAGTACTGGGAGGGCAAGCTTCTGTGTATAACCAAAGAGCAACCCACCCACCCCCTTCTAGCACTGATAATGTTCCCTAGTTGGGTCTTGAAATGCCTGCTCAGAGAGCACCGGGGACCCCACAGTTAATAACCATCCTGGCTTTTGTTGGGGTGGGGGTGGGTGGTCATGTCTGCTAAGGAGAAGAGGGTGTAGAACAGAGTCAGCTGGTCTACACCAGGGATAGGCAACCTTGGCTCTTTTATGACTCGTGGACTTCAACTCCCAGAATTCCTGAGCCAGCTATGCTGGCTCAGGAATTCTGGGAGTTGAAGTCCACGAGTCATAAAAGAGCCAAGGTTGCCTATCCCTGGTCTACAGTATTTCAGAGGACTCCCAGCTTTGGCTCGTGAGCTCAGTGTTGGCTGGTCCATCCCGTTCGCCCTGCCCTAGACAGGGAGGCCCATAAAACGAACCACTTGGTCTTACCTGGGACCGGTGGCCTCAGGTAAGGCGGGCTCAGCGGTCTCTTATTTCTGCTGTCTGTGGGTGGATTTAGGAAGGGAGCGGTGGGGAGGAGTTGAGCTGACTGCCCCCTGCCCCAGCAATGCCACAAGCTCTCGGGGGGTCTTTGAATTGTGATGTCCCCGACCCCTACAGTCTTTCCTTCTCCCCAACCTGCAGGCAGAGAAGCTGGAGAAACATCAGCGGGAACAAGCGAAGCAGGTAACGTGAGCAGGGTAGCTGGCTGCTTCAGTGGTGACTGCACAGTGCCTCGGTTTCTCCCTCCGTGGCAGACCCGGTGTCTCCCCTGGTGACCTTTTCCCAGGGGAGGGTGGGGGGCTGTGGAAGACCCCTCTGAAGTGGGGGGGTCTCCTAGGAACAAGGCCAGAGGAAGGCTGCACAGGGGGTCCTCGACTTACGGCCACAAGTCAGCCTCAGGTTTCTGATGCTCCGCGAAACGTTCATTAAGTGAGTTTTTAAGCCCCATTTTACGGCTTTTCTCGCCACCGTTGTTAAATGAACCACTGGAGTTGTCAAGTTAATCACACGGTTGTTAAGCGAATCTGGCTTCCCCCCCCCCCCATTGACTTTGCTTCTCGGAAGGTCACACGTGCTGATCACGGGACACTGTGGCCGTCATCAATACGAACCCATCGCGAAGGGTCCGCGTTTTGATCACGTGGCCGTGGGGATTGTGGCTACGACGTTCCTTACGGTCGTAAGTCCATTTGTCAGTGCCGTTGTCATTTCGATAACGGTCACTGAATGAACTCTGTGGTAAGTCGAGGACTCCCTGTATAATCCCCAGCTGGATTGTGGTCCAGTTGTCTCAGGATGCCCGTTGGCCAAACTTCCCTTGAAAAAA